CGTCTGGACATCTGCTGAATGGAACTAAGCTCTGTTCTTTAATCTCTCCTAATTTCGGCTAGAGCCGGATAACGACGACTTATTATCTGGAGACAATGTAGCACCTGATATGATTCAGCTCATGCCAAAGAAAGATCACCTTTTGGTGAAGATAGAGTGCTTATTTTTGGGTTACATAAGATTAGGTGAGGATCCTGATTTGTACCTTATTTTGAACGGATACGTTACTCTGGCGGCTCGAATAGCAAGAAATAAATTCTCAAGTCTTTGTCGTGCGTTATGTTGCTGCCATCAGCATTTCAGCCCTTTTTATGCATGACAGTGCTCGATTTCATCGAATGCGTCTTGTAAATCAGATGCCTGAAAAAGAAAGAACAGGGCCTGTGTTCATCATGTTCTCTATATTTAAATCTGTTAGAATTCTAAGGAGACACATTGATACTAAACCACAATACCTATTAACGCACCTTCAGTTGTGAAATACCTTTTTTAAAAGAGACCAAGGAGATCTTGGAAGAATCTCTTGACAATCTCATCAATTCAATACTCTCAGGTATGAAGATGTTTTGCACTTTCAAGATGGCCATACGTGTAATTACACATTTGAGAAATTTCATCTATGCTTTTTCTTTCTTTTCCAAAAGGTACATGTAGTAATATGTTTCATGGTACCAAGTGATTTTCCGGTAAGGATAAAGTCTCAGTTACTTTTCAAATTGTTGCCAGCAAATATCGCTGTGTATTACATTTAAAGAAATTGAATAATGAAAAATTTGCACGAATGTAGGCGTGTTTTTGTGAAAAAATAACGGTAGCTAATGCCGTCAAATTTTGAATAACATAGTCCTCTACCCGAAAATGGACACCTGAAGGCCCGAAATCTGAATTTCGAATTTGTTTCATTGCGTATTTTTATATGTTATAAAACTTTAATGAATTTTTTATTAACAAACTCAACGATTTCAAAGCGAGCAGTGGCTACACTGTGCTGAAAAAAACATTTTTTATCTCAAGTGCGCGAGACTGTCTATCAAAAATTTTAAAGCTATGCTATTTTTAAATATTTTAGCCTAAATGCTCTCGCAATGTGTAAATTAAAAAAAGGCCCCTTTGGGCGTAATGGGAAGTCTGAAAGATTTCAGAATTTTTTTTTCTTTACCTGTTTGATTCGTTACTTTATTTAATTTATTCTTTATTACCCATTTCATAAACATGTTTTTTAGAATGCTGCATATTTACTAGCACTTTTCTGCTTTCGCTAAATCATCTGCTCACATCATTTTGTTGAGTCGTATATCTTAAAGACGATGTTTATTAAAACTGCTGGCAATAAAGTTAGAGCCAATTATGATGTTATATGAATTTGATGTGGTATTGGAGCCATTTATGTTCATTGCAGCATTGATCGGCCTGAACTCACCGCTGTTTGCTTCTTGGTGCTGTGTATTTTCATCTCGTGGTGCGCCGTAATTGACAAATCTTATTATGCCCTTTACGGATTTTGCACTTTATTCATAGCAGTGTGTGAAGCTCAGTTTCCGAGGTACCACTCTTGGCCCGAAAGAGAATAATCTGGAAGTCTGATAAATTGCTCCCTTCGTTCATAAAAGCAAAAATTTAAATGTTTCCTGAATGCCTGTTATACACTTTATATATCAACCTAATTTGCTACTGATACATACCTTATACCACTGGTAATTTAACGCTGACGTTAAACGTAGAAGGTGGTCACATTCAAGTGACTCGAACTTGCATATATTGTTGCGTTTTTCTTCTTCTGACACCAGTTGTTACTTTATTTTCTTCTTTCAGGTTCGTACGGGGTTCGTGTGGATTTGGAGTGAATAACGACGACACTTGATGAAGTATCGAAGCACACTTTATTTGCCAGTATTGTCAGAACAGCTCCAAAACACGTTTTACAGTCGTCGATGAACTACTATAAACACGCTGGAACAATCAGCGACACAGCCTTCACACTGTCAGGCAATAACGGTGGAAACAGCTTCCTGCAAAGCACCAGAGTACAGCTCCCAACTCTGCTTGGTCGTTCTCGGAACTCCACGTACTCTCGAGACTCTCACGCTATAACTCGCGATGCACTCACGACACACGAGCACATATCCCGACTCTTCGGTTCAGTCGTTCCCGGAGCTCAACACGCTCTCTCGACGATGCACTAACCGCGATACACTAAGAGACTCCTTCGGTGCACTCGACGACCCACTCGGCACTCGCTGCCGGGCTGTCAACTCGATCGACCCCGCAGGGATTGACTCGCTAGACGAGACACCAACTCGATACTAACTAACTCGCACGCTAGACGAGGCACACAAACACTAACTGACTGCGGACCATCAGGGTTTATATAGCTTTCGGCTTGTGTTCGAGATTATTTTGGGCTAAACCGGTAAGAATTCGCTCCAGGTTTTCCATCCGTCAATGGCATATCGCCATTTTTGTCCTTAAATGGGTGATTTCTCTCCAAATGTGGCAACCCTGCCTACCTTTGCCATTTAATGGCAACTTTAAAACTGCTTTGCGGGGAAGCCATCTTACCACGCCTGTACATTTCGTAACAATATTCTTATCATGTTATTATCATGCAATGCATACAGATAACATTACGAAAAAGAAGTTTCATTAGTTAATGATAAAATTTATATAAATATATTACATCTATAAAAATACACACATTTAAATGATACTGAGGGCATTTGAATGTGTGTACTTTTGTAGATTTAATGATTAAAAATCGAAAGAATAGAAAGAATCATTAATAGAAATGTCACTCAGTTTTCATGATTTTTCGGCTCGATAGTTAAGCTAATCGCATTTACGCTGACGGTAAAAGTTAGCATTAATAAAATGTCACAAACAGGCAACTGAAACTTAAATATTGTGAAACAAATTCATTAAAGTAAAATCTTAACTAAATTTTAGTAAAAGGTTTGGTAAGATTGTTGCACATTTTACAAACATTAAAAAATAATTTCTTCCGAAAAATTTCTCTTTATAAAATAATAAGATTCGAAAAATGATAATTAATAGAAAGGATAAGAAATACATCGAAAGGGCTTTTGTTGAGCGACTTTAATTAGTATAAAAGGATTTTCGGTGGTGGGATGATGAAAAGCGTCGACACTTTAATGGGAGAACGCGCTTCGAAGCGACCGCAACGCTCGTAGCGGTAGCGATGTGGAAACACAATCAGTAAAATTGCGCATGCTCTTTTTCTTTTCAGTCATTGGTTGTTTTCTATTCCAGATATTCTACAGATTTGTTTGATTTGATTCTACCCAAATCTTGTTAGCTGCTAACGTGAATTTCTTGTGTTAGTTATAACTTATTAATTTGTTCTTTTTAATTATAAAAGGCTCTTTTCAGAACCATTTTTAAAATTTCTTAATGGCGTATCGATACTGCCGATTTAAGGATTGCAAGAGTAAGATTTCGTCAAAATCCGATGGAATACATTTCTACACATTTCCTCGAGACGAACAAAGGTTAGTACTCAATTATTTTTCACTTTTACTATTTGTAAGGGGATTCGAAATGTGATATATTGTTGTGTGTTTATATTTAATGTTGTAATGTGTTTATATTTAAACGTGAGAATAATTTTGTCGTGCATGGTATGGTTCATAAAATATTGTGTGTCCATTAAAAATCTATTGGTTAACACTGGAAAAACAATTATGTGATTTACAGTTAGCATTTTATCAGCAACATTTAGGGCATTTTAGTAATGTTTACTTTATTTAAAATTTATGTAGTGAAATTTTTTATAAAAAATAATAAAAAATTTTAATAAAAAATTGTATGTATTGGGTTAAAAAAAGGTCTCATTTAATTCATAGACTGTTTTTAACAACCCTGAAACCCTGTGGTATAGTTGCAAGTAAAGTTTGTGGATATATAGAAAGAAATTTAGATCTTAACAGTAAAAAAGTCTCTTAAAAGCGTAGAGGAATCAGTGCCATACTGAATGATGACGAAAATTTATAATTGGTGTTCAACATAAAATTATGAAACTTAGTGTTAAATCTATGTACAGGCGCTGTTCCCAGTACAAGTGTCCCACTCATCAAGGTGTCCAACTTAAGAGGTTTCACTGTATTAAAAATTAAAGTACTTGCTAGAGAGAAAAGAAATGCATTTGTACTGTAATTTTAAGACGCTAACAAATTTATTGATTTCGTATGTGTATGTGTGGAACGTTGTAATGTAAACTTTTAGGTCTCATGCAAAATTAGCTTACAGTACACTTGAAGCAACTATTAATTTTGTCTGATATGACTATAAGGTCAGATGGCTGCAAAAGTTTAAACAACATTTTTATTTTAACTATTCAGAACATAAAAGCACTTTCTTCTTGCTCAGAAAATACGCCAACACTTGTTTTGAAGAACTAAACAGTATTAAAATAAACTCAAATATTCAATTTGACAATATTGGCTCATGATTTCTACACTAACTTAGACCAACGACAATCAGAATTGCAAGTCCGGGTTTTAGAATGCAATACTATCAAAGTAACGAGCACATAAGAGTCTGCTCTAAAAGCACATCCTTCCACACACACACACTTTTAGCCTCAAACATATCTACTTAAATACTGTAACTTATTTGCATTCTGGTGAGGAACGAAAAAAGTGGACTTGACAGTAAAAATTCAAATAATAAAAATGAATGGTTAATTAACATAAGAACCTTAAATTATAGATATTTCAAAAGGCCTTAGCAATCAAAAGGTTTGAAATAAGCTACAACTCTATAATTTTGAAAAGTTAGTAATGTTTATGAATAATTTTTAATTATTGTATGTTTGAATATAATCCATGTATTATACTTTTCTTCATTTTTTTCTTTTCAGATGCCAAGCATGGGTTAAGGCTTCCCAAAATGATAAGCTCATTGGCATTCCCGCTTCCGAGTTGTATAAAAAAGCATGTCTCTGCATGTTTCATTTTCAAGACTGGTGTTTTACAAATGTTACTATGAAACATCGTCTGGTTCACAATGCTGTGCCATGTTCTCCGAAATCGCACGTAACAAAGAATGCAGTTTCAAATCAGCAGGTGCCTAATTTAAGTGACACACCTTTCTCAAGTGCTATGGGTAATCATTTAATATCCCCAGTTCCTGTTCAAGGACCAAGTAATCAACAAACACCAGTAGCCTGCAGCACATCAAAGTCGCATTATTCAGCGAAAAAATATACGCCCAGAAAATCAGTATTGGCAAATACTGTTAAAAAGTTTTGGGACATGGCAAGGCAACTAAAATTAAAAGTGGCAACTTCAGAGAGAAAATCTATAGCTTATTCTTTTGAAAAAACACTATTTAGTCAAAGGGTTAGCAAAAAATGTTCATTCATTCAGCGGCAGGTAATATTGAACACTCAAAAAACAAAAGGCAGGCGTTTTACACAATCTGACAAAATTGATGCCTATCGCATCTACAGTAAAAGTAGAGCAGCATATCGTGTTTTAAAAGAATTTCTTCAGCTACCAGATGAACGAACTCTTCAGCGTTTTGTGTCATCGAAGCTCGCATACGCAGGGATTAGTGCAGATGTTATATTTGCATTGAAACAAGTTCTGCAAAATAAGGAGAAACATGAAAAAATGTTTGCCTTAATCTTTGACGAAGTATCATTGAAACCTTCTCTGGTGTATGACCGCCAAAAGGATCACGTGGTTGGATTTGAGGACTTTGGTGGTTTACGAAGCGATTCATTTGCCAATCATGCACTGGTACTAATGCTGAGAAGTTTGACTAGCAAGAAAAAGGTACCACTTGGTTTTTACTTCTCAAGCCATGCCATGAATGCAGAACGACTTCGAGATATAGTAATGGAGGCATTGTCAAAATTGTCTTCTGCTAATGCTACAGTTAAGGCTCTGGTTTGTGACCAGAGTGGAAGTAATTGTAGATTGTTTGGTCTCCTAGGAACAGAATCTACAAAGCCATTCTTCTATTTTAATGGGCAGAAGGTTTTTTGTTTGTTCGATCCACCACACCTTTTAAAAAATTTACGACGTAGCCTTATGAAATATGACCTCCAAACTAATAAAGGACTTGTGTCATTCAAGCACATTCGAGATTTTTACACAGTGGATCAAACACTTCTTGTTCGCTGTGCACCAAAAATTACCGATGCACACATATACGTGGCTGGCATGAATTCCATGAAAGTTGCGCTTGCTGCGCAAGTTTTTAGCCACACAGTAGCAGCAGGAATGAATATGTGTGTGTCCTATCTGGACTAATAGAAGCAAGTGCTGCTCCAACGGTAGAATTTATACAAGAGATAGACAATTTGTTCGATTCTATGAATGGAATTCGAAAAAATCCCTTAAGGGGAAAACAATTACATTGTGCTGTAACAGAAGGTTCTGAACATGTTAAATTTTGGACAAACATGCTGTCATTCATTGACTCATGGGTTTTTCTGAAACCACTTGCACAAAATCAAGGAAGGTCCTAGAAGGCATGTCGCAGGATGCGGTAGTAGAAAAGGTTGGACCCAGACAATAACGGCCATGTTGCAGCTTTCGGAAGAGATGCTGAAAGAACGAGAATTCTTTATGACAAAGAAATGCAACCAAGATTGCCTTGAAAACTTTTTTAGCCGTATCCGAGGAAGTGGTGGAAACTGTACAAATCCATCGGCTTACGAGTTTTCATCAGTATTCAAGATTGCATCACTAAATTCGTTCCGATGTTCTCCAACTGTGAACCAGATGGGGATCAATTTATGTTTTTTTTTTTTATTTTGGCTCCTGTACCTCCATCTACAAGTATAGAAAGTAAAGGAGATGCAGAGGAGGAGGATGAACAAAATAGTAGAAATAAGGATTTTGATGATAGTTTAGTCATTCACTGTGATTCTTCCTGCTGTGATGCAAGTTTTCAAAAACTTGACAATTTATCACTAAATGTAGTTGCTTTCTTAAGTGGATATTTATCCAGAAGAGTATTACGTTGCCTAAAGCTAAATGAGTGCGATACATGTAAAGTGGCTCTTATAGATAGGGCAAAGCCTATGCTACAGCATACTCTGTTCTTACATTTTAAAGAATATAAGGATCAAGATGTAACAGAAGGAGGACTAACACATCCGTCAGAAAAGATGACATTATGCATTGCTGAACTTCTGCATATATCCAACACTTTTTTATCTAGCCGCTTGTCATCACCTGACATCCTGCGGAATTTGAAAAATCTCTTGTCGCAGTCGTCAATGTTTGAATTTCTAAACTGTGAGCTTCATGCTGAAAATGTTAAAGAAAAGGTTTTGTCTTTTGCCTCTGCTCTCTTTTTCTGAAAATTCATCTTCGTGAAAAAAATAGAAAGATTGCAAAATCTAAAGTCGATTTAAAAAAAGTACAAAAGGGACAACTTAAATAGAACTGATAAGGGTTCTAGTGTAGAATTGAGTGTACCTTCGATTAAGAACAATTTTGTTAAATTTTGGTGATGAAACCTCATTTCTGGTTACCATGATAATTTTAGCTCCCTGATTTTTTTTAATGAAAATAAGATTGATGTGTACATGGACTTGTGTAAAGGTTACCATGTGCTGATATATGAAGAGCCTGTCTACAATTAAGTGTTTCACCCATTAATAGAACTTTTCTCGGAAATTCGAAGTTCATGCTTGCTTTTTAATGTACGTATGTCTCATTTCATAGACAAAGAATGGCTAAAGGGAGCATAATTACAATATTTGCATCGTAACTAAAAAGTGGCAAAATTTTCGATTCTCAATTAACTCTCTCCTGGATTAAAGATTTCTCTGAGAAATTGAGAACCAGTAACAGCAAAGGTATTGAATGCTCTGCCAAAATATATTTTCTAGAAGATTTGAGTTTGATAATAAATGTATTCTAAAACGTGTTTCAAAGTGTGAAACTTGATGGCTGACTGTAAATATAAAATTTTGTATGTTAAAATATTTCTAATTAGGCATATAAGGTTAAGTTTTTGTTAAATAGAGTAAGTCAGGCAAGGGTTATCTGCCTAAATGGAGAGATGCCATCGTGAAGGAATTTCAAAGAAAAACTGATCTTTGAGTGGGTATTAAAAATAATGCATGTAATTTTCATTCAAATTATATTCATACATATTTCATATGTAAAAATGTTGGGTATATGCTAAATTATTATAAATTACTTTACTCAAAAAAGAGGAAGCACTTCCGCAGAGGATCCGTTAAATGTAAACATCGCCAAAATTGGCGATAACAGTTCAAAGTTGGTAACCCAGCGAATTCGGTGTTCGTAGGTAGCAACCTGATTCTTCAAACGCTTAGACAACGAATCTGTTCTCGCATGTTCTGTGCGTGCTCCGTTTTGCCGCTGGCTGGTGGTGCATCACTACCGGATGAGCAGGTGAAATTGCGGCGGAGGGGGGGGGCTTATTGATAATTGGTAACACACGCTTGTTTAGAGTAGTATGACTGTGTTCTTAATAATTAAAAGACTAAACACTCAGAACCATAGGGTACCCGAGTCCTAAAACATGATTAACGTGGGCCGCAATAATATAAGGTTTAAATAATTAACTAAAGTTTTTATTTTTTTTTTTATTACTCTTATTTTTATCTAAAATAATAGGAATTACATCACTTTTCATGCTTAAAAATTTGACATATTTTTAATGTATCTTAGCAATTACCTTTCAGAAGATGCTAGGTGTTTATATATGATAGATGATTAGAATGAAATAAAGAAGTAATAATGAATAAAAAAAGTATTATTGGTTCTCTGAGATGAGATTTAAAAAAAAAAATTAAGATTTTTTTATTGGTCATCAAAGTTAGTAAACCACTGCTTTGAGTAATTAATCAAAGTTTGACTTTTGAAAGATAACAAAATGTATAATGTTCTTATAGTTTTATTTACAATGCTACTCTAAAGATTTGAATATTATTGAAGATTCTTGGCAATGTCCAGTTTATTGTGAAAAAGGCAGTTGTTTCAAAATAAAATATTTTAAGCTATCAGCAAGTAAATTCAAAAAATAACTTTGAAAATTGCTTGCATAAAATGGATATTTGAAATGTATTATTCTGTAATGAATCCATTAATCTATTATATGTACAGTAGCACTTAACATATGAAACACAATTTTGGGAATATTGACAAGCAAAGCACTTAATGAAAAAGACACTTTTAAATGTACTAAAATATTAGTATCTGTATGAACAACAGAGAATATATGTAATGAATAATACCATGACCAAATACCTATATAAACAAAACAAAATTAAGTATTCTCATCCTCGACACTTGAAAAAGTAATCCTGCTGTGTGCAACATTTAGTGAATTTCTGATTGCATGATATTGCAAGCATTTTTTTAGATTTTTCCTACTAGTGGTTAAGACCATTGAATACTGGTAGTTTGATCTGTGTTCATATCATGGTTAAAGGGCTGGCTGCATGGTTGATTTTTTTCTAGTTTTCCTCATATGTAATGCAAATACAAGCCAGTTTCCCTTAGAATGTTCATAAAGGCATCCTTCTTCAGGTCAACAGCTGGTATGCTTTGCCATATTCGAATAACCTAAACTTTCCTTCAGATTATACATTGAAAGGTTATATCTGTAGTAAGCAGGACAATGATCATTCAGCTTCTATCCGTGTGGAAGGAGTATATTTAAAACATGTCAGAACCATGGGATTCATAACAAAATCGACCATTAATCTTGAACATTTTATCAAGTGTGCCGTTTTTTCTTACATTATGGGTTTCACTAACAAGATATTCATACTTTTGTTCAAGTTCACAAGCAGTTCAGCAATACAGTTGCTGGATACTGGTAGTTTGACCCTAGTTTGAATCTTCAGTACTCAGTATCTTGGGCCATCACACTGTCATGGCTCCTAAAGCTATTACTGCTTGGCATAATATAAGCAAAGCATTTACGACTCATTTATGATACAACATTCTGAGAAGTGTTTCATCTGCCTTTCTCATACACCTGAATGCATCATTCAAAGAAAAAATGATGTTGCTGCGTTTAATTTCATCAGGCCTGATGAAAGGTCTAGAATGCTGCAAGTGCTGGTTTTTTCCCCACATCTGTTATAAGGAGAAATAATTTCAGCGATATCCTGGAACTAGAATTATCCTAGTTTACATATGAATTTGTCAACAGCATATGCTATTTCCTAAAAATCAATGAAAATATTGCTTTTTTCATTCTCATTTTGGATATTCTAAAATGCAGTAATGTATACAGCATTGATTTACGTCCATTTTAAGGTAAATTTGCTGATCATTTCTTATAAGTTTCCAAACATCTTTTTAGAGATGGACTTTCTTCTTTTCCAAAGTGAAATGTGTGTCAATACAATTTATTTCAAATGACTATGGCATGACATCTAGTCTTCACTTTGGCATTCATGTTTGTTTCATTATTTTTACGGAGACATTGCTATTTATTTTTAAGTGTTTTTTAATGTGTTATTGAAAATATTTGTAATATACGCATTTACAAAACTTTGCATTGACCAGAGATATAAAGTTAGTCTTCAGTTAAAAGACTTGTTTAGGATTGTGTAAAGTTGAACAATTACTTTGTTTATATAAGTTGAATAGGAGACTGTTGTTTTATGATTTTTTTTGTAATGTTGGATAGTTTCCACAGGCTTTGGGAATTTTCTTCATTTGATTATCTCTATGTAGTTGAATAGAAAAATATTTTGAAATTATCAAAATAAATAAGTTATCTATTTTGGAGATTAATTTTGATAACCAGCATTTTGTAACAGCATCATGTTCTTAGCATATGCTAAGAATATCGTCAAAAGAAAAGAGTCAACCAAGGTGTGCAAATCTGTGATAAATTTTACTACTTTTTGTTATTCCCATGTATATGTAGTTATATAATGATTTGAACAACTGTAATTTTGGAACACTGAGAAACAACTGCTTCAAGTGATTGTTAGACTGTAACTAAATTAAGTTGCAAATGTGGTCTCACGACTTCATAGTTTATATTGCAAGGCATGCTGAAAATTTCTAGTTACATTTGAATTGCATTGAAATCTGTGTTTAAACTCAAAATCAGACTCAAAATGCAGGTTTCTTTTTCAGGCTATCTTCATAACTATTGCATTTTGACATTTAAATTGTTCATATGACAAAGAAATGTGAAAAATGCTAAGTTGAAAACCATGCTGTATCAATATAAATTAAATCCTGTGACTAATCACTAGTCCTGTGAAAATTTTGCAAATATGACTCTGATTTTTTGTGAT